TTTTCGATGAATTATTAATAAATTAATGTCAAATTTTTAATAAATAATTTTGTGATGAACTTTTAATGAATTTTTGCTAAATAGTTATTGAATTTTTGACAAATTGTTAATAAATTTTTTGTTAAACTTTTAATTAGTAAATTTTTTATTATTGAATTTTTTGATTGTCAAATTTTTGATTGCCGAATTTTTGATTGTCAAATTTTTGATTGCTGAATTTTTGATTGCCACTTTATTGCCAAAATATAATATGCCAAGTGGCAGCAATTGAAAAGAATTTGGTAATATTTTTATTATTAAATTTAATCAAATTCGACAATAATTCAGCTGCTGAATGACATAATTTTGACTAGTGTATCTACTGTTTTTCATGATTTTCTTGAGGATTTTACCTACTTCAGTTTGACACTGAATTTCTGATAAAACAATATCATCTGGCATCTAATTTATTGACATGAAACATATTAGTAACTGAATGTAAACAAGCTTTTATTGGTCACCTCATAAGTTCTGATGATGTCATTGGTAATAGAAAGAGTTGATTGATGCCTTATATCTATCCCACTCCTCCAATTGGATTAATTTACAGATTAAGTACTATGAAACCAATAAAATATGAGCAACAAGTCCCCAGGTGATGAAAAAGCTACTATTTGTTTAAGCTGAGATCTTTCTTTTTTATTATCCCAGTTAGGCAAAGTTTAAAATTAAGGTCTCCTTTTTATTCTGATCAGGCAATAAGACTAAATAGTCTTTAGTTCATGCTAAGCTTCAATCCTTTGATTATAGTTAAGAATGCATTTTCCAAAAGTTGTTGAAAGATACTATAATCAATGAGAATCTCTATTGCTCTTCTGGTATTCTCCCATTATTGTGAAGCAAAAAGATCTTTGGGGAATAACTATTTTGGGTAATGGAAAATATATATCAATAAAATTTCTTTAACTAGGTATGACTGTTGAAAGGTATTATACTGAAACAACATAATTCAGTTCCTACTAGATCACATAAGAACCTAGGATCCACTATAAATCACCCGTTTACCACAGATGAATAAAAAATCACTGCTCAAAGAAGGTTAAGACAAAGTATGTCCTGGAAGTAAAGACTCTCACTAGGTGATAAGTCTCCTTAGACAGTACATGAGAAGGAAATCAAGATCAAGAATGGATAAGTTTTTCAGATAGACAAAAAAAGAAATAATATCCTAATTAGACATTTCTTATTGAGAAAAGATCTTGAGAAGCAAGTCTATGAAAAAAGTTGAAAATATTTTTTTCAATTTTTATCTTTTTATTTTCTTATTATTTACTTAAACATTTTTAAATATTTCTTATCCTTTTTTTCAACTTATCCTTTTGTAGTTTTCTGTATTTCAGCAGCTTGGATTGATATATGGCAGTAACAACCTGCTGGCAATAATGCAATGGATTAGGAGGATCTTTACACAAAGACACTGTGAAGTGAAATATTATTCCCAAGGCTGAACTTAGAGGCTATTATGCTTATGACGAGTTAGTTAGATTAGAATAATAGTTTAATTGTAATATATATCATGCTGCTCGAATAAAAATGTATTTATGTTTTCAATTGATTAATAAACTTACAATCTAGCCTGGCTACAAGTATATAAAATATATATATATATATATTAGATCAAATTTAAACTGTAGGCAATAAAGTTAACAGTTAGAAGGGTCTTTATCCGAACTACTAATGGAATGATAAATCACTTTCAAATTTGCACTTAGAGTTTTAATAATTCTTAAAAATAGAAATGAGTGAGTTAGGTAAAAACTTAGCTTTAATGATATATTCTTAATGTAAAGTATACATATGTTTAATAAAGCACACATACCTAGCCTAACAGAGGGTTTAAAAAAAAAATTTAGATCAAATTTGAAATAGTAATTTGTAGATAATAATATTAGTAGTTAAAAAAGATATTTATGAACTATTAATAAAATAAAAAATTATTTATAAAGGTATACTTGATTTAATTAATAAAAATAAATAAGTTGGAAAATTAAATTTTAGCAATATATAAGTATATATAAAGTTTGTATAGATGTCGAAACCATAATAAAAATTTTGCAAAACATGTATTTAAAGAGATTATGCATTTATAAAGAGGAATTTTTCTATTATTTATATAAACTTGGAACTGACATGTTTTATACATTCAAAGGAATTTTATATAATATATGAATTTATAAAAAGTTGTATTAAAAGAAAGTTCGATGTAAAACTTAATTATACAATAAACTCCTGGAAAAAATTAGGCATTATCGATTACTTTAAACTTTTTAATACTTAAATATAGGTTTTACAAAATAAGTAAATAGCATTAAATTTTTTCAAATCCATTTGATTTTTTTTCGTACTTGTTTGTAGAAGTACCTTGTAACTCGGTCAACGAGAACAGTATTACTGTTGTTTGATACAAGATCATTGCTAACAAGTACAAGAAAGACTTTAGTCAAAAAGTTTAACTAATTCTTTCTTGTTGACCTTTCCCATCACGTTCCTTGGCAATTCATCAACAATTTTTAGCACGGTAGGGATATTGTACGGCGCTAACTTTGTTTTGCAAAATTTTCGTAATTGTTTCAAATCCAACATCAATGCCTGGAATTTCAAACGGTTATGACAACGTTAATAAAAATTTTATGTACTGTATGAATTAAGTGATTTTTATTCAAAGACAAATAAAATTCAAACTTGCAGGATCTTTGAGTGCAACCAGAGCGGCAACTTTCTGTCCCCATTCGTGATCCTCGACTCCAACCACAGCAGCTTCCGAAATATTTGAATGCGACAGTAACGCATATTCAACTTCCAGTGCCGATATTTTATAAGCTCCTGACTAAATGTAAAGTTCTAGGGTCACTAATCGTGAAAAAAAACAAAGGTCGTTTTGAATACATAGACAGAAAATTACCTTGATTATATCGATATTCAACCTTCCGTGTATTTTAAATACCTTCTCGTTTTTGGTTTTTATAGCCACATCGCCTGTCTTAAACCTTTGAAAACGTTCAAAAGGTTGATATAACAAAATAAACACGGAAATCCATATCAAAATTGTACCATCCATCTTCACTAAATTCTTTTTTAGTCTCATCGGGTCTATTCCAATATCTGCATCCCATCCAAATAAGCATTGTGAGCATTTAATAATCCGTTTTTTTTTTTTTTTTTTACCAAGGAAATGAGACAACATTAAAGCCCTACTCTTTAAACACATTAGGGCCCTTGATTTGTAATTCTCCCAGTTGTTCGGGAACATCAGTAGTGTCCTTTCCATCTTCTGAAATTAATCTCACCTGCACACCTGGTAAAGGGACGCCCACACATCCCTATAAGAACATATCGATCAAGCTGTATTCATGTGACGTCAAACTATCTTAGGCACAATAATAATTTTCGCAATTTTTCACTTCCCTCGTATCTCTTCTCAACTTCATACTCATGACTAAGTCCCATTCCAATTTCACTCATTCCATATCTTTCCAGCAATACTTGTCCCCCACTAATTTCTTTCCATTCGTCTCTGATAGTGACTGGAAGTGCCGATGATCCAGATACCATCAGTCTAAATTGCGAACAAGATTCCGTGGCTGATGACTTACTTTCTGGGGGGATGTTGGTTTTGTAATATTGAATTAACTTTGCTAAAATAGAAGCTTTCTTTAGTATGCATGTGATCTAAGGACGCAATCCAATTTTTTGGCTTACAATAAATGGTCGGAACGGCCATAAAAAGGGTGAGATCCCGTTCTGGCCTCATCCATCTACTCCAAACTTTGGCTGCATCAAACTTTGGCATCATTTCCACGGTCCCCCCTGCATACAGTGTGCAACTCAGTGCCTTAGAAATTAAGAAGGTTTTTGCCATAAATTAGTAGTGATCTTTGACTTCCCGGACATTGAAACTTTGAACTTACATTAAGGATACCCTTAAAACGGCAAGATGAGTATTTAGTAATATGATTCAATAGAAATTCAACACGAATAATTTGTCGAACTACACTTACGTGCAAATGATGCAACGGCAATACATGCAAAAGTTTATCTTTCTCAGTGTATCTCCAAGCTTCAACCAAAGATTTAATCTGAGCTGCAAAGTTTGCATGAGTCGATACGACTCCTTTCGGTTTCCCTGACATAGAATACAAATCAATCTAAGCATACTGCAATTTATTATCCGAACGCCCTGATTATTTACCACTAGTCCCGCTGGTATAAATAATCATAGCGCGCCTTGAAATATCCATCGGAATAAGAGATGGAGCCTATACATGGGAATTCTTTGCAATTAGTAAATTATGTTGATAATTTTATAAGGCAAGTTTCAGTTATATTTACCCTAAACTCATCATCGTCATCGCTGTACCTTTGATTTTTGTCACCGATCACTACCACTCTTTCGATTCCGGCGTCCTTTGCCACATCCCTCATTCGATCATAAAATTCCGGGTGAGTGATAACAATGGAAGCTTGGGAGTCTCTAAGGAAATACAAAAGTTCTGGAGGCGGATGTGCAGTACCTGCAAAGTATCAAAGCCATATTAGAACCATCTACTGTAAAGAACAATAATATATTTTGCAGAAGATTCACCTTACTTAATGGAACCGCAACACCTCCAGTCGACCATATCGACCATTGAGTAACCACATAGTCATAACCACTAGGACATAGAAAAGCTATTCTCGCTTCATTCAAATCTTCACCAACTGCTCCCGACTCCCTTAACAATCTTTTCCGAAATTCTGTTACGTCACTTATTAAATTGCGATAAGAATGCTGGGTCCCAGTTTTTACATCGATGACCGCATATTTTTCCGAAGCTCGAGATTCCGCATGGCTAATCGCCTGTTTGAATAATGGCAACGATGGAAGACCTGCACGAGTTATCGCACATGAATCATCAATAACCGATTTCACGGAAGCTTGATGATTGCTATCATATTACTTACGATTACCATTAGTGTAAGAATTATAGAATCGTCCGCTGGTGAAAAGACCTTGACGTATTCTGAAATGAGCCAATAATCGACTTTTATGCATCGGAAAAGAAGAAAGTGACACTGCAGGAATGAAAGTTTTTCGACGGAATGCAAATACGTCCAATGATCATCAAAAAAAGCAATGATATTCATACCGGGATTCATTTAAGCGATATACTGTACTGTATTTTTGGAAGAATCGGAGTTTATGCTTGCGGAATTCATTCACGACATGCAAGGTTTAAGGAATATTACTCGCAAAAAAATAAGCCCACAGGTTTTGTCTGCGAGGTCTGATTTTTCGGATGTGTCCGTTTTATACAAATCATGAGATTCCGAACATAGAGAAATTAGAATATACAGCATCGTCCCTCAGACATTGTACCATTGCGGAGTTTTTCTCTTTTGTCACGAATGCAGAGATAAGGGTACGCTGCTTACGAATCAAGCAGCGGGGTACATAAGTTGATGCCACAAAGTTTTAGCGCAGTAAGCATGCTTTGCCTCATAATTATCGAGTCGAGCTTCACTTTTAAATTTGGAAATGCGGAATTTTTGCGGAAATATTCAAACGTTTCATGAAACTAACGAATTTGGTCAATTTTAATATAAGAACCTGGTCAAAACCTTTAGATCCCTACAAATAGAATGTTCCGAGTGACCACAAGTATACGGAATATATCTATATACAAATTCTGAATCAGAAACTTTTTTACCATGTGGACCTTGTTAATCAAAAGGAATTATTCTTCACGATGATGGAGTTCCGAAATTTTATATTACAGTGTATTCCGGGTTGTATATATATATAACGGTAAATTTTGCTTTTTTCTTTCTAACAAAGCAAGCAACCTTAAAGATTCCTTCTACAGAGGCGGTTCTAATAGATTTCAAGAATACTTTTTTACTGAATAACCAGACTTTAAGTCACTACTACTGAAATTTACTCGGATCATGGTTAACAGACGAGGGCCTATGCGATGTAGAAGGGGAAGGTTGTTGACTATTGGTGGTTTGTTACCACCTAATATATCATATTATTACAGGAGGAGATTGAGAAGACGGATCGTTCGCGGAAGATATCTGATGACGGTCCGTAATATCGTTCGCTATCGATTGAGAAATTCTCATGGATTATATCAGACACATAATTCATACTACGAACAAGTACAACAGATGTCGCAGTTGATGGGCTCTGATGCAATCGATTTCACGATTAATGGAGGTTCTTTCAACTGAGTATTAAAGAAACCATCGTGGAAGGGTTTACAAATCATATAACTTTGAACAATACATTTACAGTATATTATTGTTTATAATTTTTTGGATATTCGCTAATTTGATGCGTTCCACAAGGGACGTACATGGGACGTAATTGGACATTATTTCGAAAATAATTATACGTAATGAACAATAATACATGGGACGTACAGTAATTGGACATTATTATAATTATATAATTAACAATAATACATGGGACGTACAGTAATTGGACATTATTTCGAAAATAATTATAATTAACAATAATACATGGGACGTAATTGGACATTACTTCGAAAATAATTATAATGAACAATAATACAAGGGACGTAATTGGACATTACTTCGAAAATAATTATAATGAACAATAATAATTCATATTTATATTTTATATATAATATGCGAGATAATATGATAAGACTTAAATCAACCATTACTATAGTGTATAAATTCACATCAATTTCCTTTAAAGCAAGAAATCTTCCTTTTAGTTTGCAATTTCCTTTTAACACCACACTTTCACCTTTATCATTACTCAAGATTTCCACAATTATGTATGTAATTGTCACATAATTTTCCCTGCCCGCCACAAACTTCACTTCCTTCCTTCATTACGTAATGACCTAACATAATATATACAGTCTTTAGTTCTTTGCCGTCTGATAGGGACCAATTTTGGTAGACTTAATTTAAGAAAAAAGACTTTTCGATATAACCTGATTACGCATTAAACTCCTAAAAAATTTTCATAGGCAAAATTTTATAGATAAATAGAATATATTTTTTGCATAAGATTATTCAATGTATGTTTTTATTTCACGAAATACGCGTGGCAAAATTTAATTTAATCATGTACATTAATAAAGAATGAAAAGGCACTGCATATTAAAAAACATTGTGATTCGTTTGAAAAAATATGTATATATTTGTGTGTGGTTTATTCTAACGCGCGCGAATCATTAATTGGTCGAGACAGACAAATCCATCCCTTCCATTCGACGGCCTCGATTTTTTTTTCAAAAGAACTTTTATTATGATTCTATTAACGGGATTCAATTCACACAACCAAAAATCATATTCCATCAGATCGGAGAATTGAGTTTTGTAAAAGGTTTTAAGTTAACCCAAGTTCAATCAAACTCCAAACATAGTTTATTTTAAATATTACGCGTAAATTAATCAAATTAAACTAACAATAACTAATGATATCCCTTATATACGGTATATTTTATATATCCAAAACATAATACTGGAGATTAGTGAAAAGAGTTTTTTTTTTTTTTTTTTTAATATATTTTTTGCTCCAAACTTCTTTTGTTATTAATATATGCACATACATATAAAAAAAAACATAAGAATTCTATAATC